GACTGAGCTTCAGCTAGTGCAAAAAGTGAAGAAAACAAAAAAGGAAGGGAAGAACAGCATGATCTTTGGCCACTTAAGGAAGAAAGCTAATGAAAAAAAGTGAGGAGAAAAAAATCCCAAGACAATGATGACATGAAATGAAATACTAAAGCACAAGACTAGACCATCTCCCCCATTATAAGCTGCTCCAATTAACATCATTTAAGGCATTGCAGTAGCCAAATTTCAAGCTTCATTTAACAGAACCTTTGCTGGAGCCACAAAACTACCTTCTTTCAGCAGCAGAGGCTGTGAATTTACATGTGTGACTGCTGCTGACACTGGATCTTAGACTGCCTATTTAGAGTGGTCGCAAATAAACATATCCAGTTATGAGCATGATTTCTTTTCCATCCAGAGCACTTGCTAGCTATGAATGGAGGATTCTAAAAGCACATCTGTGTCCAGCAAAATTCACTCACTGAGGAAATCAATGCAAAGCCCTTTTTTTTCCTCTCTGTGTGTACAATGTATAAAGATGCTAAACAGTCTCCACAACTCCAGAATGCATGGACACCCACATACAGCAGTTCAACTCCAGCTGAAAAACAGAACTTCCATTAAAATGCCAGTCCAGAATTAGTCTGCCCTGGCAGACAACCCCTTCTCCCCGCCACCAGCAGCAAGGTATGCACATGAACAGAGAGATCTGTTCATGTGCTGAAAAGATACAGGTGTATGTCCCAGGCAAATATGACTGAGAGCAAGTCTACAAGACAGCAACATAGATGGAGCCACTGTGGGACACAGAGTAATAACTGAACTATTCTGAACAGCAGCCAGAAGAGTACTATATTTAAAAAGAAGCCCCAAAAAACAAAAAGCTATGCTACAACACTTAGTGGCAAGAAATAAGGAAAAAGAGAGGAAAGCCACTTTGGTATCAGGAGCCACAGAGAAGGCCAAGAATGCTAACATAAATTCTGAAGGAGGAGGACTACTAGAGAAAATCTGAAAGAATGATGTTTTGAAGTTCTCTCTCGGAAAGTTTGCCTACAAGGTGAGCTTCTAAACTCATGTAAATATTTCGACCATAACTGCTGCAGGATCAGACTACTAATCATTTAACTTTGAATGAGTTTAAGACCATCCACATTCCAAGTTCACTTCACTGTTTGATAATTAATTCTGTTATGGTTTTAAAGAAACCATTTACTTCCAGCAAATTTCAGTGCTGTATTATGTTCCATGGTATTCAGAAACAGACCATATCAAATTTGTCTTTTTAAATACTGCCAATTTATTCAGCAATAATAACTGTAAGAAGTTTCAGTAGCAAATCAAAACTATTTCTTGAAGTATATTTCAAGTAACCTATGAATCAACACAGCACATTCAAGACAGTCCAGGGATCGGGCCTAGCTGGAATGCAGTTGGGAAAGGCAGCTGCTGCCTGACCAATCTTATCTTCTTCTACAACTTAGTGGATGAGGGAAAGGCTATGGATAGTGTTTACCTGAACTTTAATAATGCCTTTAACACTGTTTCCTACAGCATTGTTCTAGTGATACTGGCTGCTCATGGTTTGGACAGGTACACTGTTTGCTAGGTTAAAAACTGGCTGGATGGCAGGGCCCAGAGAGAGTTACTTCCAGCTGGTGGCCAGACACTGGAGGGGTTCCCCAGGGCTCAGCAATGGGACAAGTCCTGTCTAAAATGTTTATCAATTATTTGGATGAGCAGTTCAAATGCTCCCTCAGTCAGTTCCCAGATATCACCAAGCTGGGTAGGAGTGTTGATCTGCAGGAGGACAGGAAAGTTCTGCAGAGGGACCTGGACAGGCTGGATTGATGGGTCAAGGCCGTGGTATGAGGTTCATACCACGTTCTACAACATGAAGTGTCAGGTCCTGTCCTTGAGTCACAACAGCTCCATGCAGGACTACAGGCTCGGGGAAGAGTGGCTGGAATGCTACCCCAAGAAATGGACCTGGGGATGCTGAACATGAGCCAGCTGTGCCCAGGTGGCCAAGAAGGCCAATGACATCCTGCCCTGGATCAGCAATAGTGTGGCCAGCAGGACCAGGGCAGGGATTGTCCCTCTGTACACAGCACTGGTGAGGCCACATTTTGAATTCTGTGTTCAGTTCTGGGCCCCTCACTACAAGAAAGACATTGAGGGGCTGGAGCAAGTCCAGAGAAGGGCAATGGAGCACAAGTCCTATGAGGAGCAGCTGAGGGAGCTCGGGTAATTTAGCCTGGAGAAGCGTAGCCTTGGGATGACTTCATCCCTCTCTACAGCTACCTGAATGGAGGACGTAGGAAACAAGTGACAGGATGAGAGGTAATGGTCTCAAGTTGCTCCAGGAAAGGTTTAGATTGGATAAGAAAAAATTTCTTCACAGAAAGGACTGTTAAGCACTGGAAGAGGCCACCTCTAAATTTCCATCCCTAGAGGTATTTAAAAGGTGTTTAGATGTGACATTTAAAGACACGGTTCAGTGGTGAGCATAATGGTGCTGGCTTAGCAGTTGGATTTGATGATATTATGAATCTTTTCCAACTTAAACAATTCTATGATTCTGTATTTGGCCAGCACTGCCTAGTTCATCCAAACTCTCAATAAACGAAAGGTGAAGTGAGACAGCTGTTTTAATAAACAGGACAATTCAGCTACTGCTTCTTCGCTAAGAAACCTTGACCTAAAGAGTCCCTTACTGTACCAACCTCCATGGAAGGTACTTTAAAGCTGTTAGGACCAGCTCCACGTAAGTGCAGAAGAAGAAGTTTGGTGCTGCTTTGCGTTTCTGCTTAGGAAGAATGGCACTCTCCATGCTATCCATCTCAAACTCTCAACTTGCACTCCTGTTTGTAGCTTAGCAATAAAAATATGCAACTGCTATCTGTTAGGTTTAATTGTACAACACCCTGGTTCATGAGCAGAACATTTACAGAGCTTCTACCAAGAAAGCACATTATAGCAAGTTCTTTTCTGTGGACTGTCATGTAGTGCTAGAATGGGAAAACTAGAAACAAAATTAAATTTAGTCCATACTTTTTATTTCACCTTAATCTGCTAGCTTTTGCTGGTTAGTTTTGAAATGCAAGGGTTTCTAAATGCAGAGTTTGAATTTCTTTTCAATGAAAAAACTAAACTAAATAGATATGAAATTACATAGGTCAACTCTGTCAAACTAGCTGCTTTATGAATTCATCTTGTCAGTAAAAATCTCAGAGATCAATTTCCACTAGATTCTATACTAGGGACTTTCCCTCACTCCTTCCCCATAACAATAATGACATGAGAAGAAACCAGTGTAGCAACTATTTTGCAACTCCTATTTTCCCCTTGAGAATCGTATTTTTACTGACAGGCCAGTCACTGAGGCATCATCAGCAAGTAGTTTCTTGGAATTACAAGGCTACAAAAAGCAGGTGGCACTAATTGAATAGGATCACCATTCCAAGCGAACACCAGTAACATCAGGATAATAAATGTCAGCAGAGCATGTGGGATGGAGCTGCAATCACATATTAATCTATCTAACACAGAAAAGCAGAAACAAATTGACAAAAGAAACCTCTCCACAACAACCTCACAGCGTGTTTGGAAGAAAAATTAACAGTGAAGGAAAACAAGATTCACAATAATTTCTATTAGTATTTAAGATACTGTAGTTAGTGATCAGTGCAAACTCTGACTGCACATCTCTGCCTACAGATGGGACCCAGCAGTGCCTTGTTCTGTTTCTCAGGCAAAACTGTTGGCAGCAGATCTCATCATATTTTGAGCTCCTGGACTACTCTACGCGGACCAAAAAAAGATCACTACTTTCCACAACAGAAAAAACCAACACCTACTAAATGACTGGCGAATCCAATCCTGACCCCAATACAGCTGTCATCGGCAAGGGTGGACTCCGACCCTATACGCTCTAATTCACCTCGGGCAGGACAGACCACCTTCAGAACAGGCACCGACTTTGTTTGCACTCAGCCCTAGCTTTTCCACACACGCACATACAGAGAGCTATTTAGAAATTATTATTTATGCAGCCTCTCATATTAACTTTTATAAGCCAAATACTGCTGCAAGCTACTTTGACATAAACCTAGAGCCGTAATTGCTGCAGACAAGGAACTCTGTTTCCACGTCCACCCAGCAGCTAACGGGGGAACGTGATCCTTAATAAAGAGTATTTTCTTCCACAGAAAAAAGGAAAAGGGAGGGCAGAGAAACAAAACAAAACAAATCAACCACCAAAACAGAAAAGAAAACGAGAGAAAGGAAAAAAAAAAAAAAACGAAGAAAAAAACACCACTAAGGACTACACCTAAACTCCAAATCCGCGGCAGCCTGGAGCCATGGCCCTCAGCGCGGGGTACGCCGCCCGTCTGGCTGCCCCACTCCGGGCTCCGTTTCGCCCCGGCTGCCTTTCTTTCGTGGTTGTGGTTTTTGTTGTTGTTTTGGTTTTGGTTTTTTTTTCCTCGTTCTCTCTCTCTCCTATTTTCCTTTTTTTTTTTTTTTTTTCCCCAGCGCTGCGCCCCGCGCTCCCCACAGCTGAAAGCTGTCCAAGTCCAGGACCACACACAGGCTCCCGCCCCGCCGCGCCGCCCGCCCCTCCCCCGCCGCGGCCGCGCGCACTCCCAAAATGGCGGAGGGGGTGCCTCCCGGCAGCGCCGCCACTTCCCGCCGCCGGCGGGGACGCGGAAACCCGCCGCCCGCAGCTCGCCCGCACTGCGAGCCGGGGCACAGGCGAGAGCACTGGGCGCTGGAGAGAAGCTGTCCCGGAGGCCCTCCGCCCAGTGCACGGCCTGGCCGCCGCTGCCCCCCGCGGCCGGAGTAGTGGTACGCGCCGCCCGGGGCTGCGCGCCCCAGCTCAGGGCCCGCCTCCCGCCCCGAGAGCCGCCCGCCCTCACCGCCGGCGGCCGCTCCTCACGAGCATGCAGAGCGGCCCCGGGCCGCTCTACCCGGCCGGGCAGGGACGGCAACAGAAATCAGGGGCATCCCCCCGGACTTACCTTCCACCCACAGCTCCTCCACGTTGGTCTCGAGATTAGCTGCCCTTAATCCTACAGCGAAAGCCCCAAATATCAGGAGGCCGACAACCAAAAACTTCCCGCAGTTTTTCTGAATGTAACAGCCCAGTTTAAACAACAGTCTCTGAAACTTTGCTCGCAGCCACAGGGGCGCTTTCCGTCCCGTCGCCTTCCCCTGCAAAGCAAGAAGAGGTCAGTAGTTGCGGGCTGCGGCAGCCGCAGAAGTAGGGGGGCCCCTGCCCTGCCCCGAGCGGGACAGCTCGCGGCTCTCGGGGCGCAGTCCTCGGAGGACGGAGCGCCGGGAACAGCTCAAACAGGCATCCTTCCAGCAGGACCCCTGCCCTGCGGCCTTGCCGAGCAGCCACCCTCGAGCACGCACACAGGGACAAGATGTACCTGCTGTCAGCCATCCTTGCCCCAGACCAACACGCGGGTTTGGGGGTGACAACACTGCGTCGGCACCCGGGCCCTCGCCTGTGCCGGCCGCCACCATACTCATCTCTTGTCCGAGGCATCGCCACCAGCTCAGGCTGCAAAGCATTCGCTCTGGCGAGACCCGTGGCTCCAGGGAAGAAAGAACCACTTCTGACAAACCTCAACAGCCACAAGAAAGAAAAGTCCCTTTTCCTGTTCTCCTTGGAACCCCAGAATGGCTGGGAGGAGACGCGGGGGGGATTGTGTGACAGATAGTGGGCAGCAGTGGCCGTTTCCCCCATTCCCAGCTCCTAGCAGGGGCTTGGTGCTGAGGCAAGACCCACGTGGTGAGCAGCGCTGTAACATCTGCAGTAATTCATTTCCATAGAGTTTGGAGACGCTGTGTGATCTGAATTAGGAAGTAGAGCAGCCATCTGTAAGTTACGACAATATTTGTGAACGGAAGAGGGCAGCCACATGGATTTTTTTTTCCTCCTCCTTTCCCTCTTCTTACAAAGCCTAGAAATCCGCTCCCTGAAGTGAAACCATCCCTACAGCAAGGCAGCTTTTGGAGATTGTTTACTTTGAACATTTTTTGGCCGGCGGAGATTGGCGGCCGGGGCTGTCCCCCCGCCCCGCCCGGCACCTCCAGTCCTCCGCGGGGACCGGCGCGGCAGGGTTAAGGTGGCAATTTGTTTATGGCCCTCGCTCTCCCTCCGGCCGCTGGGCAAGGGAGAAAACCGCTGCTTCTTTGCTGGGGGACTCCGTTCTCCCAGGGCACCCGCCGTCTCGGCGCTCGGCGGAAAACTTCACAAAAGCCCCACTTCTGCCAAGAAGCCGGCCGGTTTCTCCCCTGTTCCGGCCGGGAGCGGGTGTTGCCGAGATCGCAGGGCGCTATGAGGGGATGGAGAAGCAGAAAGGAAGCGGAGAGAGAGAGGGGGAGCGGGAGGGCGGGCCTGGGGTTAGCCATGGGGAGGCCGGGACCGAGCAGAGGCTATTTCGGGAAGTTTAGGAAAAGTGCTCCGCAGCACAGGCACGCACCAGGGCAGGCACAGGCGAGCAGGGAGGGAAGGAGGGCACTCTCTCCCGCACTGAAGAGTCACAGACGTCCCTCTCTTTTTCCCAGCATTTTATTGGTGGCCGTTTCGTTTCCATCTCCTCCTTCCACCCCCGCGAGAAAACACACCACCTCCCTCCTCCTCCCCCGCGGAAAAAGCAGCACTACCACTAGCGTGTATCTCTGGAAAAAAGAGTGAGAGATTGAATGCACCTTTGAAATCTGCTCCAAGGCGAAAGCCGCATCGCAGTAGCTTGGTCGCTGCAGATACTCCCGGTCGGGCACCGCGGCGCGCCGATTCCCTCCAGTCCTTCGCCGCCTCCCGCCGCCGTTTCTCGGCGCCCGGCCGGGGTGGCCTCCGCCGCCCGCGCTGCTGCTGGTCTCCGGCTCCGACGCGTTACCGGCCGAGGCCATGTTGCCGCCGCCGGCGGGACAGGAGAGCTGCCGCTGGCGCTGCCGCGGCGGGGCCCGGGGCCCCGGGGGTGCGGCGGGGCCGCGGGGGGCTGGCGGCGTTGCGGGCCGCGGGCTGCTGCTGCGGGGGCTGCTGCCGCCGCTGCTGCGGCCGCCGCCGCCGGGGCTGCTGCTGGGGCTGCTGCGGCGCGGCCGCCTCACGCGGGGCGCGGGGCGGCGGCTGCCGCCGCGGCCGCTCCGGCCGAGTCGCTCCCCGCGCCTCCCATTGCCACATCGCGCGCGGACCCCGAGCTGCAGGCGGCCGCTCCCCGCGCCCGGCGAGGGCGGGCGGACGGGCGGGCGCGACCCCCGGGATCCCCCGGCCGCCGCCGCGCTATCCTCCGCTCCCGTTGAAATCGCCTACTCCGGCCGGCCTCCGCTGCCTCGGGGAAGCCGCTGTCCGCGGCGGCGCTCAGCGGCGGCGGCGGGGCGGCGGCGCGGCGGGCCGCGGCTGCTCCTGCTGCTGCTGGGCTGCCTCGCCGCGCTGCACCATCCTGCTTCAGGGCCGGGGTGCTTCCCGCGGGCCGCGGGGCCGGCGCGGTTCCGCGGTTGGCCCCGCCGCGGCGGCGGGCGGGCGGCTGCCTGGCGCTCTCCCCCGGTGTGTGCGCGGCAGCACCGAGCTGCAGCCCCTCGGCTCCAGAGATGAGATGAAGAAGAAAAAAAGGAGTCTCTCCATTTGGATAAAGAGGAGGAGGAGGAGGAGGAGGAGGGGTGGGGGGGGGGGGGGGGGAGAGGTGGGGGGAGTATGAGTGGAGAGAGAGGGAGGGAAAAAAAAAGGGGCTGAAAGCCCGCCCCCGGGGCTGTCAGATGGCTTGGGTTTCTGCGAGGTGATTGGCTCGGGGAGGGCAGAAATTACTCAGCAAACATGACTATTATTAGCTGCTTAGCAACAGCTCACCAAAGTAGAGAGACCACCCAGGCCGGCAACCCTTGTGTGTGCATCTCCAGCTTCAGGGGGAGCCTTAAAGAGATCCAGTCTTCTTTGCATGCAATACTTCCATTAAGGAATGCCTTCTCCCTCTTTCTTCTTCGTTTTCCTTTCAAGAGCGTTACTCCCCCCTCCCCTTACTCCCCTCCCCCGACCCCCGTCCGGGATGCTTGCAAATACACGCGCGGAACTTTCTCGCCAGGGACATATAGAAATACATTTTTCCCTTTTAAGAAAAAGAGAGGGAAACTAAGAAAAAGCAGCATTAAACGATTTCTAAAGGCCTTAAAAGAAAATCCTTTTAGTGGCACCTTGGCCTCGAGCTGCAACAAATACTGGGAGGTCCGAGCTGAATTCCCAGGCTTGCAGGAATAATGACAGGGTGGTGGATATTGCGGTAGAAAGTGCCAGATTTTTCTCCTCTTTTTAACTAAAGAGGAGACTTAGTTCCTTGCAAGAAAACCACTCCGTCCAGTTAGAAAAACACAATGAAAATTTAACACTTAAGGGATTTAAAGCCGCGCGGTAGCTAGCTGTTTCAACTTAGGACTCATTCTTTAACTGAAACCTGAGGAAAGCCAATTCTAATGTTTTTAGTGTAAAAGTCCATGAAACGCAGCCTGCCTGGCCGCGCTAAACATTTCTCGAACTACATACGATTGTTTACTTTTTTGGCACCGCTTCTCCGCGTCTCTCTCCATTGAGAATCAGCCATTAATTGCTGCCTCTAGAGCTGCGCGCGTCCCCTCCAGCCCCGAGCTCGGGCCCCGGCCCGCAGCGCGGCTCCCCGCGGGGGCAGCTACGGGCCGTGGCGGCCGCCCATGGGCACCGGGGCGGGGGGCAGCCGACAGCCCTTCCCTCCGTCCCTGGCCCGGGCCGAGGAGGTGCTCTGGGGGGCTGCCTTCCAGCAGGACGGCTGCTACACGCCCGCGGAGGAGCGCGGCTGTAAAGAGTTCGGGAGCTGGAGGGCGGGTGGGAGAAATGCAGCGAAGAAGAGAGGGGCGTGGGGACCCGAGGTGAGAAGAGAACCCCGTGCAGCCCCTGCCCGGTGCGGTGCCCGGCTCGACAAACCCGCCAGCACTGTGCACCTCTCCCTTCAGCCCCGCCGTGCGTGTACCTGGGGCAGTGGTCCTGAGCAAAACCCCTGAGCCCCCGGTCACTGCAAGCGTCCTCTTCCCCTCGGCGGGCTGACGACCGCCTCAGCGCGGGCTGGCAGCGTCCCGGGAGCCGGGGCCGCCGGCGGAAGCGAGCTGCGCAGCGCACCGATTTCTCCGTGAGACTGCCCAAAGGCACCAACTGTCAGGACCTTTCAAGGGCCAGGTCCGCCGGCTAGGGGATCCCTTTTTCCTTTGATTTCATCCCAATTCCGTTTTTTCCCACCCTGGGAAACTTGAAGGCCCTGCCCTGTGCCCCGCACAGGACTCTCTCCAAGAAAGCTGCTAGGAGCAGCAAGCTGTCATGCACGCACACATAGGTGCATACGTATGGGAGAAGGAAACCTGGAGCAGTTGCAGCTGGAGGCTGTTTTCTGTTTGAGGCTGAAACCTATTCCTGGGGTGCAGTCGGCCACCTCCAATTCAAGTTTCCATTTGCGAAAGTGACCATCCATCTAGCTAGGAGGTGATGTGACACTGCTTCTGGAAGTGCTCACCCTCACCGTGTCTGATTGGGTAACAGGGCAGGGGAATGGAGAAGGAAGGGATTGGTTCAGAAGCAGAAGCATTTTGGTTCAGTCTCCTGGTAGGCTCCAAAGCCAGGGAAGTGTCTTTTCAAGCACCTGGAGTGTCTTTTCAAGCACCTGGAAGCCCCAGCACTGTCCTAAGTGCCTCCTGCCTGCTAGTCTTCACATAGTAGCCTAAAGCCCATTCTCACTGCTGGTTCCAAAACTCTATCTGAAGACTCAAATTTAACAAGCATTGTCTTAATCTCCCCTCTCTCCCTGTGGTCTGGAAGGATTTTTTTTTTCAAGCATACACAAGAGATTAATTACTGAAGAGATCTAATTGGTCTTGTTTCTGGGATGGGTGTGTATATGTATGTTGGGATTTTTTTTTTCCCTCAAGGAAGAAATGTCAGTGTAAAAGTCTCCACTTGGGTGGTCAGAGCAATGGCTGCCCCCAGTCTGCCTCATAGCTGATGCCTGCTTGCTAAATTCCTGGCAATAATGTTGTTCCTAATCAATCTGCCCTTATTTACATTTGTAAGCACTGCCGACTGTGATATGTATGCCCTGAGTGTGCAACTGCTCCTCCACACCAAGGGCTACCTCCATCGTCAGCAACTCGAAGGGATCTCCCAGATTTCTTATCTAGGACACGCTATGTGGTGAAGGCCTAGGAAGTTGTCTCGTTTTATACAGGGGCTGCAATCTACAACTATTCATGTCTGTAGCTTTCAATGCCTAGACAGCCGAGGCTGGTGTACAAGAATTTCAGATTGACTGTAGTTGTAGTGGCTTCATTTTATAATGCTCTGTCTCTTACATACATTCCCTTTGTGTTCATAACCCCTGATACTGCAGAGCACTTCTCCAGCCAGGTAAGGGATCAATCCAATAGAGATTAACAGTCGGGAACAGATATTTACAGTGATGTTACTTTAACACATCTTTTCCAGGTTGCTCTTCACCTGCAGACACCCACCAAAAACATTTGCACTGCTGGAGCATCTGATTACCCTAAGACAGAAATGAAGCACAACCACTTTGGGTTCCTTTTGTACAGTTTATAAGAGTGCTGGTCCTGGGAGAAGACGGACTGGTGGGAAAATAATCAGATTTTTTCTATTCCCTCAAATTTCTGTCTCTCACACAGCTTTGCATCGCACAAGTGCACAGGTCTGCCCCGGCCCTGTGCTCCGCCTGCACACCTGATTCTGGCTATGACATAAGATCACAGTCACTGGGGTCTGCAGGGCAGCCTGAGCCTCCCTCTCCTTTTCCAGCACTCGGAGTGCCGTGCTGGCCACCGGGCCGGCGGGGGCTGCCGTCGGGGGGCGGCGGCGCGCAGCGGGAGCCGCTCCGCAGGGCAGCGCCGCCGCTCAGCGCCCGCGCCTGGGCAAGGAGGCGGGCGGCCTCTCCCCCTCCTCAGCCCTGGAAGAAAGGGAACTGCTCGAGCCAACTTGTCAAAATAATGCGGCTAATTACCCCTGATCTCCTTTAATGGAAAGCTGCTCTGCACGCCACAAAGGAGCAAATGAGGGATCTACAGCACCAACCCAGGAGCGCTGGCATTTTCTTCTGCGGAGGGCTGCGGGGAAATGTGCCTCCAGAGGAGTCTCCGAAGCTTCTGAGCTCCTCCCGCACAGCAGCGGACTCCCAGAGGAGAAGAACGCACGGGGAGCTGCGGAAGACAGTGGATGAAGGGACAGCCCGCTCCGTCCAAAACCACGAGGACATCCCAGCCCTAGCAGACTTTGCCATATTCCACGAGGGGCTTTACCTCTGTAAACCCAAGTAGTCTTCAAATCAGATTCTCTTCCTGGCAAAATGCCCTGCCACTTGCAGGACATTAATGTGCATTGAGAGGAGAAAGTTACACTGAACCTTTTTTAGCCAGACTGGACAACACCGGGTCTGTGTAAAGATAGAGCTCAAGTTTTGCATGTGCCAGAAAGCAGGGCATTCACTTCCACGATCTCTGCCATCGGGCCTTGAAGAAAAAAAAGCTGAACGACACAATCTCTTTGACCCACTGCTGGAGCAACAAATTTATTAGAGATATAGGCGTGAGAAATGAAAAGGAAGTAAAACAATTCAGGTTCATTGTATGTCTTTCTTTCATACTGCTAATCCGGTTTACACATCACGCCTACATGTCTCAATAGGGCTTTATACACTGTGGCAAAGGCAGAACAAAATAAAAGGTGTGTGTGTGAGTGTGTGCGTGAGTGTGCATGTGTGTGTGAAATAAGGATAAAAACACAGAAGCTTAAGACATTTTAAATCAGAGTGAGCTGCCACTTTTACATCTACAGGCTCTTAAAATCAAACAGATTTTAAAAGATCCCTTCTCCTCCCCTCCCTCCTCAGCCCTAATATTTCTAAACAACACTACCTGCTGCCCAGATACAATGTCATGTTACAATTCAGACACACAATGC